ACAAAACCCAGTCCCTGGCCCTGCACAGTGCTGCCGGACCGGGTTGCAGGGGAGAGAGGCCAGCTCAGAATGCAGGGTGGATCCGGCTCCTCTACAGCTGCTCCTGAGTCCAGCCCAGGACTTTCCTGCAGCCCTCCCAGCCGCTCGCTCTGCTCTGCCGGGGGAGGGGGGAAATCCCGGACATTGTGAGTGCTTTACAAATTCCCCCCGGACGCTATTTTTAGTACAAAAAGGAGGACATGTCCGGGTAAATCCGGACGAATGGTAACCCTACTTTAATTTTACTTTAAATAATTTAAAATGTTTAAAATGCTTGAAATGAAAACATTTTATTTCAGGCCAAATAAAGTGTTTTATTGAGCTAAAACTTTTTTTTTTTTTACAACTTTTCAGAATGGCCAGCAAACTAAAAAACCCACCATTCACTGAGCTCTAGTTAGGAAGACACTTGAAAAATTAGTGATGGCATGCCAACACCCACAAATATAATCAAAAGTTTCTTTATCCAAGTTATCTATTAACTTACTCATTTATCAAACTTAATGCTCCAATTCATCAAAGAACTTATCCATGTGCCTAACTTTAAGCATGTGAGTAGTACTATTAAAGTCTACAGAATTTAAGCAGATGCTTAAATTTAAGTATCTGCTAAATGCTTTGTTGAATCAGGGCATAGAGGGCTTAAAGTTTGAGAAGATGGTTCCAATTGGACAAAGTTTCAAGTAGAACTGGTTCATTAACAATTTGTGAAATTTTTCAAAAATTTGTTTCCAAGACTTCCAAGAGAACTGGGAAGGGGTGTTTATGGGTCTTGGTATGGAAGCGTGAGAGTGTGTAAGAGAGAGAAATTAACCAAATATTTGAGCTTTGCTTTTTCTTCCTCCTCCTTCTGCCCCTCCTTTCCCCCCTGTCTTCTCCCCCACTTTCCTATTTTGCCAGTAAAAACAGGGAACTGTGACAGTCTGTATCCCTATGTTCACTTCTTTTACGGGACTATGAGAAATCTTGAACAAACCATGCCTTGTGAGTTATCATTTGAAACTCAATTTACTGATCATTATTGTTCTGCTAAAATGTGTGGTAACATTGCATGTAAAGTTATATGAGTCCTCCATATGGTATTACAGGACTGTCGCATCTTACACGCATTTAACATGCGCGATTTCAGCTTTACGCGGTCGGCAAAAACAAAAAGAGAAAAACAACAATTTTAATACTGTACCTGTAGTGCCAGCAATTCTGCCCGCCATTGAACTCAATGTAATTTTGACTATACGCAGTTTTCGCTTTACGCGCTAACCGCGGAATAGGAACCCCCACGTAAGATGAGACTCACCTGTACTAAAACATGTTCCAAGTCTGTAGAGCAGTCACAAACCAGTTCCCCTGATACAATAGGCTAGCCGACGTCTCAGCCAAGTGTCAACAAAGTCAAATGGGCTTTCACTTTATTAAGTAGCCATTCTTTGGTAGGAAAAAGGAGGTGGGCAAAAAATCTACATCTTGACAAAGAAAGAAGCTGGAAGTTCCCATCCATACAGACTGTGTCTCCTGAACCTCAGCTGGAAATGATTCTCAACAAAGAGAAAAAACATAGAAAGGAAGGGAAAATGCTCCAAATAATTTCTCCCTCCGTCTCTACTGATGACATTGACAACATTGGACTGGGGGAGCAGGGGGACTCCTGACTGAAAAAAATTCAGCCTGTAAGACTGGTGAAACATGGTGAGAGAGACCTCTGCTTTGAATGCACTTTGCTTGTTAAGTTAGGCATTAGTTGCATTTTACTTTTGTTTTCTTGTAATAAATTCTGACTTATGCCTCATTACTTGTCACTTAAAATCTATCTTCTGTAGTTAATAAATTTGTTTTGTGGTTTTATCTAAACCATTGTGTTTGGATTGAAGTGTTTGGGAAACTCCATTTAAGATAACAGGATTTGTGCATATCATTTTCTATTAATGACTATCTTTATATGAACTTGTATTGTCCAGGAGAGAGCTGGGCAGTACAAGATGTACATTTCTGTGGAAAATCTGGGACTGGAACTTTGTTTGTGTTGCTCCACAGTCTAATTCAAGAGTGGCTCAATCATATACTTACCTTTCAACACGCAAGTAGTCCTAGGGTGCAATCCACAAAGCAACTTAGGCGCCTGAGTCCCCAGGCACAGCACCACTACAATCCATGAAACTCTCACCTGGCTGCTAATCCTGTAGGTGCCTAAACTCCCTCAGCACCCAAACTTTCCACTTTTAACAGTTTCCTAGCTGCCTAAGTTTTAGGCTCTGAGAGAAGGGAGACCCCTGTTCAAATCTTACCTCCCAGGAGAGTGCTCTAACCAGTAAGCTATGGGAGATTCTGCTATGGGGTCTCCCTCAGTCTCTCCTGTTGAAGCTGTTCCAATGACTTAGTATTTATTGAAACTGGAACAGCTTCAAACTGGTTAGAGCAATGGTTCTCAACCAGGGGTACATGTACCCCTGGGAGTACACAGAGGTCTTTCAGGGGGTACATCACCTCATCTAAATATTTGCCTACTTTTACAAGCTACATGAAAAGCACTAGCAAAGTCAATAAAAACTAAAATTTCATACAATGACTTGTTTATACTGCTCTGTATACTATACACTGAAATAGAAGTTCAATATTTATATTCCAATTGATTTATTTTATAATGATATGGTAAAAAAAGAGAAAATAAGCAATTTTTCAGTAATAGTGTGCTGTGACACTTTTGTGTTTTTATGTCTGATTTTGTAAGCAAGTAGTTTTTAAGTGAGGTGAAACTTGGAGGTACGCAAGACAAATCAGACTCCTGAAAGGGGTACAGTAGTCTTGAAAGGGTGAGAGTCCCTGGGTTAGAGCACTCACCTGGGAGTGGAAGACTCCTGTTCAAATCCTCTCTCTCAGTCTAGCAAAGAGGGGAATTGAACCCCACATCCCAGGTGAGTGCTCTAACCACTAGGCTAACAGTTAGAAGATGGGCACCAACTCCTCCCTTCCCTTTTGGTGTTAAGTGAGGCAGATACCTAACTCATTTCCTCAAGAACTGATTTAGCAGCCTACTGCAAGTACAGTGGGTTCCTGCTCACAAATGGCTAAGCAGAGCTAGGTACCTAAGTCCGGGTAATAGGATGTTGCCTATCAGAGAGAGGCAGAACTTAGCACACCCTCTCGCCTCTGTATCTCCTATTGGCTTACTTGCGAGGCTCCCTGCCCAGCATGCTGGCTTTTGTGGGTTGCATTCTTAGGTGCCTCTCTCTCCCCATTCATTTTACAGGGAGCCTAGGTAGCTAACAAAAATTTTTTGGATCACAGTGTTGTTCCTGTCCTTTTTCTAGCATTCTAGAAATCAGGCACTGCAATGCTCAGCTTTGCAATGCTGAGGTCCCTTTGGGGATCCCACACCTATGACTTCATTTGTACTGGTCACTAGCTTAAAGTTGAGCACATGCATAGGTGCCTTGCTGTATCTGTGCCAGAGTACCCTGCACCTTGCAGGATCAAGCCCCTACCTATTCTTATAAATACAGATAAATACTCATGTTTCTTCTCTGAATTAATATTGTGGTAACAATGATTAAAATAAATTAATTTATTAAAAGCATTTATCAGCTTGATAACATCAATTACAAGTTTTTAACTATTCAGATAGCTAAATTTGCAAAAACCCCAAAACTCTGATGTCCCCTAGAAATACAGGCCTAACACAATTTAAATATCACAGGCAAGCAATGATGAGACAATGGTAAAACACCAATTTACTTCAGTGGGCTAGGATTTCACCCCATCATGGTAATAGGACATTAAGCAACATTCAAGTCAGTCTGTTTTATTTGTGTTAAATTTTCTTAATACATATTGTAATACAAACAATATTTTTAAATCAAGGTAATATTTGGAAACATGATACCTGATTAAAAAAACCCCATAAACTAAATGTAGTTTTCATAATGTACTGTATTCTGCATAAACACCAACAGAAAGCACAAAAACACAATATTAAATTAAAGTATACTTAAGATATCCTTCCAGGTTTGACACTAGAGAAATATAAAAACTTTGTAAAAGTAATAAAATATATTCAGATAAAATTTTTTACAGTTGCAAAATGTTTAGAACACACATTGAAGCAGAATGTCATTATACAGGAATGGCAGTCTGCTATAAACCAAATTATCTTTCCTATATATAAGGAGCATTAGAAAGTCTAAAGTATTTCCCTTCTGTAATGGACAAGTTTATTACAATGAACTACTGCATGTTACATACATACTGTAAAGTAGTAACCTACAGGGCTGCATATATGCATTAGAATAGGTTCTGTTTATCCATCTTTATCTGTATTGGCCAGATTCTGCCACCCTTGTTCATACTGCACAGTACCTTACATTGCAATTACCTGCACTGGAACTACTCACAGAGAAAAGTACCACTCTGTGTGAGCAAGGACTCCATGGCATTGGAGCAAAATGTTGTTTATAAATGGATTTTGCACTTGAAGTATCCAATGTACAGGATTCTGATATTAGAAAGAGTTAACATTACATTGATTTGATTAAAGGAGTTCAAGAATGGTCAACAAAAGTGGATAAAATAAACCAATTATAGGGAAAATATGCAATTTGGTTACATTTTGGGTACCATAACATTAACGTTCATTTTCACTATGCCCAATTCCTTTTGAATAATATTTGGTGTAGGATTACAGGGCACTGTTGGTGATCATGTCATACAGTACATGGTACTGGCTTCAGAGCACATATAAAAATATGGAGGCCCATAGTCTGCTCTTAGTTACACTGGTGTAAATCAAAAGTGATTCCTAGTTACTCCAGGCTTACGTTCGTGTAACCAAAGGCAAAATCTGGACTGAAATATAGATGTAGGGTATTTTTAGTGAGGAGGGCAAGGAAACAATTGGCTACAACCCACTTGAAAGTGAAATTTGCTGTAAATTATTGTTAAAGAAGTATTTGGAGAGACAGTGATCTGTCCTAATCTGCCTGCATCCTCTGAGATAACAAATAGTGAAAGAGAAGCAGTATTTGTGATGTTTAGTTTAACCACTTAGGAGCCAGACTTTGCATTCCGGCCATAGTGCATCCAAAACTGCCTTTGACTTGAAAGTTTTGGGATTGCTAGGAGTGCAGAATCAGGAGCATAGTGTAGTGAAGCACTTCTACTCTGAAAGCTTTTCCTTAGCCTTAATATTTATAATTCTCACTGGTACCTGCCTAGTGCCATTTCTAACCAATACATAAAACACATACAAAGTAAGCAATTACAGCATGTACATGATCTGTGCTGTAAAAAATTTCACTGAGTACATCCATATTAGGACACACAAGCAATTCCATAAATATTGTAATCCCATCCAAATACAGCATAGTCAAAATTTGAAGTTTGATGGAAGGCCTGGAAAAAGAGCAAACAAAAGTCAATGCTATTAATTACATTTTCTTATTAGAGCTGACTGAACATTTTCACCAAAAAGATGCATTTTTGTTTTAAATGTTTTTAAGCCAAAATTAAAAATAAAATAATAATTATTATTTTCTCAACAAATCATCGTGGAACAAATATTTATTTCAAAAAGTTTCATTTTGTTTCTTCTGAGATTGTTGTTGTTGTTGTTGTTGTTGTTGATTTGGGGGGGGGTTAAGAAGCTTTTTTGTGGGAGGTGTTTCCCCTGCTTCCTCTTTTTTATTCCCTCCACACACATTTTTTGGGGGGAAAGCAGCTTAAAAAAAAAAAGTGAGAAAGAAAAAAGTGGAAGGAAACACCCATTCCCCCAAAGACACTTAAAACCATTTTTTTCCATTATAAATAACACTAAAATTGTCATTTACCTTACATTTTTGAGGGGCTGGGGAGGGGGGTGAAAATTACATTATATTTGTTGACCAACCCTCTTTTTTACATTCTAAGCATGAATGCTGAGCTGTTACTCTTTTGCCTTTAGTCTGAAGCATACTTTCTCTCTGCCTATATACGGGAAACACCGCTATGTCAGAGCCTGACAAGATGAGTTTGTAATACCTAAGGCAAGCGCATGTAGTCCTTGCATTACCCAGCTGTAGTAAGGGATAATGGCATTTGAAATCAGGCCTAGATTGTTTGGGTGTCTTTGCTCTTGCCAATTTCAGTACTTTTTTTTTTTTAATAGCATTTTATTCTATTTACCTTCCCTCATATTTTTGTAGGTCCTGCAAAATCTGAGTTCAAGAGAATGCTTTGTAAGAAGTAGAGCCTGAGCTGGAATCCTGACACTACGATCCAAGATGTCAACAGAGCAATCCCTTTCGAAAAGCAGAAACATTACTTTTGTTTAGATGATAATCCAACCAAAGATTATTTTTAAAATGTTTCCAGTGGTAAGAATATTTTAATGCAATGTTCTGTACATGTTCACACAATCTATGGTTCTGAACATACGTAGTATGACAAAATTCAAAACCCATTGAAAACTGTCCATTCAGGCTTACTTCACTCGAAAGTAACTAAGATGAAATCCATAAAATGGATATGCTGGTGCTATGTTCATGAGCGATCTGATTGATTCTTCCACGCACACAGTCAAGAGAAATGGATATCAATGTACCATTATGCACTTCGAAAGAAGAGCGGAGGGACACACTGGTCCATATACTTCCCTCAGGCATTTGACCTCCAATTTGCTGGCCAATTGCTGTGGGTTGCATCTGATCACTGATCAAATGATTTAGAGTCACTTTGAGTACATTACATGAGTGGATCAGCTTTAAATTAAAAACAATGCTAGCAACTCCCCTTTCAGTAAATCTGAAGTACTTTTGAGCAAGTTCTCCAGAAGAAACAAGCTGTATTTGTTTCTCACTGGCTGAGACCTGGGTGAAATCCAGTAATTTGTTTCTGACAGCTCCTGTAGGCAGTCGTGTAACAGAGACTGTGGCTGAGATGGCAGTGGAAACTGCAGATGGGATCCAGATGAGGCTAAGCATACTAATTCCAGAGCTGTCTCCAAAATATCGAACGTTACATTGAGCTGGAGAACGGATCTCAAAGCTAAGTAGATCTCCACTGTTGACTTTTGTGGCCCCAGAAGCAGATATTGATGTGTCTCTGTAATTTACACCAGATTTATACATGTTCATTAATTCTCGGTTAGTACCATTCCTATTCATATAAGAGACCAAGGAAAAGCCTTCACGAACACATGTATGGCCCATGGAATAGAGTGCTTGGTGAAAAACAAATTTTATGACACCTGTTTCAGTAAACTTTATAGCTCTGCCATCGTGAGATAAACTTAGCATGTAAGGGTCAGAAACGGAAATAACTTTAAAAGTAGGTCGATAATTAGTTTGGTAGTGCATTGCAGTTGACATCTGTGCACTCATAGCCACCGCACCTGTATCATGGGACAACCAAAACAAACTGAGTGGAGTATTGAGGTCAAAAATATTTAAGTCTTTACTTTGATTGCAGAATTGATTTGGACTCTTCAGAAAGAGAGAGAGAGTTTGGCTTGGTTCCACCTCTGCCGCGCTGCTTAAACTTGTGCTCTGAAAATATTTTCCTTCTGGTTGTTCGATACGAACACCACTCAGTTCACAGCCTTCCTCAGTGTCATTTAATTTCAAGGACAGCTGGAGAAAGTTTCTGCAGTTGTGCTTTACAGCAAAATTGAGGTCAGTCCACATCAAACCATGTTGCCTGAATACCAGGCTGTTATCTTCAACAGATACAACTTCACAGTGAAGCTTTCCCTTTATCTTCAAGTTTAAACCAGGGTAGACCTGAGAAGTGCCAGACTTTACTGAGGGTAAAATAATGTTTGCAGCCCACGATTCAGAAAGCTTGTTCTCGCTGGCTGCTGAACAAACAGTGTCAGTGACTGGGGAGCAAGAGAAAGCTACTATTCCGTCTTCACACTCTGAACAAGCCTGGCATTCCTGCATTTCTTTATTAAAGAAATATTCCTCTCCACACAGTCCCAAGGCTGCATCTTTTTCAGCAATTCCAAGGCATCGGAAGCCACCTGTTTGTAGGAAGTAGGCAGTTTTAGTCACAGGCACACCTTCTGAGCCATTTGACACTAACAAAGTAAAAGTAGGTTATTCAATATTGTCAGAGCACCCTTGATTCCAAGCATGGGTTAAACACTATCGCCTTGATACCTCACTGCATTCACGCTGCACCCAAACAGAGTGGGAAAGAGGAGCTGCAGGGATCCCAGCCCCCAGTGCACGTTAGGAAACTTAGGGGAGTGGGGAGCTGATGGGGGGCTGCCTGTCCACCATGGTTCCAGGCCCCCACCAGCTCGCTCCAACGGGCTGCTCTTTCTGCAAGCAGTGGACAAAGTAGGCGGCTGCCAAACAATGTTATAAGGGAGCATTGCGCAACTTTAAACAAGCATGTTCTCTAATAGATCAGCAACGTAACAATGAAACAACGTTAACCGGGACGACTTTAAGAGAGGAGTTACTGTACATTCATCCCTTCTAAAAGTGGTTTATATTGTAGAAAAGGATTTTTTTCTTAAATGTAGTTTGCTTCTGAACATTTTTTTAATATATATTTAAGCAAGTTTTTAGACTTTAGCTTTATAGTTTTTTGTGGGTGGGGTAAGGAGGGATGTCTACTGTTCTTCTCAGTTCACTGACGAGTCTTCAAATCTGCACACTGCATGACTAACCCTTAGATCAAGGCTGGATCATCTAAGAAGAAAGATAATCTACCTCTGATTCTTCTCTGAGCTTCTCCCCGCCCCCCGCCTCCCCAATCAAACACACACACGCACACTCTCTTTTGAGGTATTTCCTGAATTAAAGAATAAACATTAATTCCAGGGAGCCCTGTAGAAAATCTCTGCAGCACTAGGCCATGCAAGCTCCCTAGGAGCACAGATGCATAGCATAGACTGATCTATTGAGAGATCAGGACTGCTCGCTGCAGAAAGCGCACTCCCACTAAACAACGACAGCCATTTTACAATCCAGATTCTAGCAGAGCTCCTCAGTGGGTGGGTCAGAGCAATGGAGAATAGAAGGCTCCTCATTTCATGCACCTGTATCCTGACTTGCTCTCTTTTTCCCTTCACACTAGAGCTGTGCAGATCACAGGTGTTGGTGAAGCTGGAACCACCTTTGCGTGTAGTTCCATGGAGACTCCACATCCAACTCTCGACCTCACGTGTCAGAGCTAACTCCCATCCACCTTCCCCTCCCAAAGCAGAATCTGATTTCAATGTCCCCATGAACAAGTACATCGAGCTTGTATAAGCTAAGGGACTATATTGAACAAATATGAGCAGGCCCTGGAAATAGCAATCTTCCTTAACAATTAAAACAATTAAGTTACTGGGAGAAGGGAACTCTCCCTCCCCCATGGCTGAAATGGGGTGATTTACAGAGGATGGAGATTGTTGACCCAAATTGCTGCCAGTGATGCAGGGTAACCCCCTTCACCTTTGTATGGGCCATCATTCCATTGAGTGTTCCCTTCCTTTTGCCCCCATTGCTATGGAGTTTGGGTGGGAAGGCAATGGGAGTGCCAGAGAAAGGACAATCTTTAACCTGAAGGACCCTTCTAACCTCCTTGACTGACAGTCCAATAGCAGAACTCATAACCAGTGAAACACTGTATTCTGGCCATGTAGTTCCTTTCAATTCTTGCCTGGCTGACAGGCAAAAAAGAACCCTCCTTGCTGATTTAGCATGCTCATTGTGTCTGTGAACTTCATACTTGTGAGCCTGACTGCCACATTGATTGGGAAGGGGCCACTTAAGGTAGGTGTGTCAGGCCAAAGCTGGGGTGGAGAAGTTTAATAGAATTTGTGGTTCTGAGTCACTTTGGTGCTTTTGAAAATGCCATCCTAAGAAACTGGAGGTGAAAACTGGGGCTTCACGTCTCAATACTAGACAATATTATTGCTACAAGGCGCTTCACATACTGCAAAAGGGGGAGCTATATAACTACACAGATTACCGTATATACTCGATCATAAGCCGGTTCGTTTATAAGCCGACCCCCCAAGATGGAAAAATTTTATGACTCATTCTCATTCATAAGCCAACCCTATAATTCAGGGGTCAGCAAACTTTGACTCCCGGGCCATCAGGATAAGCCATTGGTGGGCCAAGATGGTTTGTTTACCTTGAGCGTCCGCAGGCACGGAGGTAAACCTAAGTAAACAAAGTGTCCCCGTGTGCCAGCTGCTTACCCTGATGGGCCGGGACAGCAACTAGTGAGGAAATGTTTTTTGTTTTTTTGTTTTGGGGGAGGGGAAGCTGGGGGTCAGGGGAGTAACCCCTGTGACCACCCCCCACATGAACCCACCCCGAGCCCGGGACCCCCACACTCTCTCCATCCCATCCCTTTCCACCTTATCTGGGGAAGGCCAGGGGAGGATTTCTCTGGCCTGGCTGGAGCTGCTCTGGTGGGCTGGGCAGCGTGGCCACAGCCTGCTCTGACGAGCGGGGCCGAGCGGCACGGCTGCAACCTGCCAGTCCCGGAGCTGCAGCTGCTTCAGAGGCTGGGGGGAGAGCAGCGTGGCCAGAAGCGGAGAGACTCTGACCCCACCTCTTCCCTTCTGGCTGTGCTGGCTGTGCTGCCTCTCCTTGCTCCCTCCTTGTTGGGGGAAGGGGCTGTGTCCCACCTCTCCCTCTCTATACCCGTTCATAAGCTGACCCCTTTCTCGGGTGCTTCCCTTTTTTACTAAAAAAATTCGGCTTCTGAACGAGTATATGGGGGTAAGTTTAAAAAAAAAAGAATAAGCAACTGCAAGAGATAAATGACTCAATTAGCCTTCCATGCCAGTTGGCCAGCAGGGGTAATGCCATTGATTTCAATGGTGTTACTCCTAATTTACACCAATGCGAGAAGAGCGTCAGGCCCAAAGGCAGCATGGGAATTAAAAAGCCAAACAGAAGTAAGGAAAGCACCAGAGGCTGTGAAGAGTGTTATTCCTGAAGCAGCCTATTGGTCTCCTAAGATTAGTTTTCATTCTTACAGCCTACCTCTCTGTGCCGGGTGCCTTGGATTTTCATTGATTCCAGCATCCTAAGCACTTCAGGACCCAGCACCTAGCAGGACAGTGCTCTTAATTGCCTTCTTGTTCTGTCACTGAAGATGTGCTTAGTCACAGAAAGGTAGGAACTTACCTGGAGTATTCAGGCATTTTATTCTCTCACCACAAATGTTGGGAGATTCAATGCATTCGTCTCTGTCCTACAAATCACAAGAATCATATTCATTTCACTTTTAATGAAATGGCTAATATGGAAGCTTTACAACAGGAAAACACTTACCTGGAATGCCAAATGAAAAACATTTTAGTTCAATTATATAAAGCATCCAGTTAAACCAAGTCAGGTTTGTAAACTGACAGCCACTTAACTGTACTGGTTTTAATTATTTTGTAAAATAAACTTCTGAGGATTCAAATTCTCTCTCTCCCTGACCATATCTTCCTCTCTCACAATTCCCTACTCTGTCTCGCATTCCTTCTGTGTTCTCTGAGCCATTAGCCTCCAATTTCTGACACACTCTGTTCCATCCTCCCCCACTAGCCCCTTCTCCCTCCATGCTATTCCCCAATCTCAGCCCGTCTGAATGTCCATCATCTTTCCATCCCTCAGGTCCTCAAACAGTATCATTTTTCCATCTTCTTTTTCTCCTCTTTCCTCATATTGATGGTCTCACTGAATCATGTCATTTCTCCAGAACTCAACCATCCCTCTCTCTCTCTCACTCCAACCCCCACTAAAACTGTTGTCTGAGCTCTGATTATTTCTTGCCTTGATTATGGAAACCTCCTTCTCTCTGGCCATCCAGACATCCGTCACACCATCCTTTCCATATATCCAGAATGCTGTCACTACAGTCATTTACTCTGTACCTTGCATTGAGTGTTTCCACCCTCTTCTCAGTTTCCTCCCTTCGTTTCCTGTACCAGCTGCATTATCTTTAAACTCTCTCCATGCCTTCAAAGCCCTTTGTAACCTGACTCCTACTTACCTCTCTGCCTTGGTCTCCTTTCACAGACCTCCTCACCCACTTAAGCTCTGCCCAAGCTGCATGTCGAACAATCCAACCCATGTCCCTCTTCAGTTCTCAACACTGGGACTTTTCATGGCTGCTTATATGGCTGGAACCACCTCTGTGACCTGATGTTTCCACCCTCTTCTCCAAGTCCCTCCTTAAAATACATTTCCCTAAGGCCCATAAACCACAACCCAATACTGTAAGTTATTGGAAAAGAGATGCATATATAAATTGTGGAACTAACAAAACCCAAGCATATTTATCACTGTTCTCATGTCACCTCCTATGTTCGTACAACAGCTATTCAAAATTTTAAGCTCTCTGGGACAAGGGCCGTGTTTTCATATCTGTCTCTAAAATACCTAGTATGCTGCGGGTGTTAGAGACAATGAACTGCTGCTAAATACATTTCTTAAAGCAAATACCTTACTGTTAACACAGGTGAACCTAAGAATCCTAAACTTGGCACAGCATAAAGACCTTACACTCAGAGTAGGAGCTCTCTCCTTGCTCTCTCTGAATAGCCTCAGTCTCAGCATGATATCCTCTGTTTGCCTGACAAAATGCTTGATCTACTTATTAAAATACACAGAATAATATTTCACCTGGCAAATCCGATCGGCGTTTGCAGAACATTCAGACATTTGGAAAAAGCCAGCAGGGCACAAGGTGCATTTTTCACACTGTGATGGTGTCTTTTGAAAATTGCAAAATTCATCAGTTTTACAAAGGCCGCAGTCCAGCAAAGACTCCCCAACATCAATCACTTTTGCATCAACTTCTACTTTATGTACAGAGTATGACTTCTGGAGATGATTTCTGACCTGGTTCTGAAGTCCTTGAAGCTGAGCTTCAAAATAATGTTGAATATCCTCATGCAAACTCTGGAATGACATTTGTTTCACTGTGTCGAAAAGCATGCCATACTGGACTTTTATCAGATCCATTTGCTCATACATTTTTCTTTGTTGTTCAAGAATTTCTCGTTGCTGGCTAACTAACGTGCTCTGTTGTTCAGCAAGTTTTTGTTGCAAATCCACAATTATCTTCTGTTGGCTTTTTAACATTTCAACAAATTTCTCTTGGCCTTTTGCAAGCTGCAGTTGTAATATTAGTGCATCTTCAGATGGAACTTCATTTTCTCCTGAAATACAAACAGTCTATTACTTTTCCTGACAAAAAATAATTTTCCAGATTATATTATCTCCACAACGAAATTCAAAATTCCATCAGATCTTCTTTTAATTAAATGTGATTTAATAAAATATCACCCCTACTTTGAAGATTTAAATGTAATAAATAACTTTCTCACATATCTTTCCTATAAATAGTCCTTAGGGATGGTGTCCCTAGCATCTATTTGCCAGAAGCTCGGAATGGGTAATAAGGAATGGATCACTTGATGATTTTCTGTTCATTCCCTCTGGGGCACCTGGCATTGGCCACTGTCGGAAGACAGGATACTGGGCTATATGGATCTTTGGTCTCTATGTTTTTATGTCCTTAAATATATGAATCTTGACGCTTGTGTGCACAAGCAAAAATTAAAACCTCTTTAGATTTATCTTCATAATCAAATGATAATTGACTTTTTTTAAACTACCCTCTGAAGTGAAAACATTTATATTAGGGCAGTCAAGCTATTCAAAAATTAATCGCACTGTTAACCAATAGAATACCATTTATTGATATATTGAAAACATCCAAAAATATTTAAAATATACTGATTTCAATTACCACACAGAATACAACGTGTACAGTGCTCACTATATATTTATTTTTGATTACAAATATTTGCATAGTAAAAAAATAGTATTTTTCAATTCACCTAATGCAAATAATGTAGTGCAATCTCTTTATCATGAAAGTTGAACTTATAAATGTAGAATTATGTACAAAAACTAACTGTACTCAAAAATAAAATAATGTAAAACTTTAGAGCCTACAAATCCACTCAGTCCTACTTCTTGTTCAGCCAATTGCTCAGATAAATAAGTTTCAGAGAGTCCTGTGACACCTTTAAGACTAACAGATGTATTGGAGCATAAGCTTTCGTGGGTAAATGCCCACTTCGTCGGATGCAAGTTTGTTTACATTTGCAGGAGATAACACTGCCAGCTTCTTGTTTATAATGTCACCTGAAAGTGAGACAGGTGTTTGCATGGTACCGTTGTAGTAGCTGGCGTCGCAAGATATTTATGTGCCAGATGCGCTAAAGATTCATATGTCCCTTCATGCTTCAACTACCATTCCAGAGGACGTGCATCCATGCCGAGGATGGGTTCTGCTCGATAATGATCCAAAAGCAGTGTGGACCGACACATATTCATTTTCATCGTCTGAGTCAGACGCCACCAGCAGAAGATTGATTTTCTTTTTTGGTGGTTCGGTTCTGTAGTTTCCGCATCGCAGTGTTGCTCTTTTAAGACTTCTGAAAGCATGCTCCACACCTTGTCCCTCTCAGATTCTGGAAGGCACTTCAGATTCTTAAACATTGGGCCGAGTGCTCTAGCTATCTTTAGAAATCTCGCATTGGTATCTTCATAGCGTTTGGCAAATCTGCAGTGAAAGTGTTCTTAATATGAACAACATGTCACTGGGTCATCATCCGAGACTGCTATAACATGAAATATATGGCAGAATGCAGATAAAACAGAGCAGGAGGCATACAATTCTCCCCCAAAGAGTTCAGTCACAAATTTAATTAAACACATTTTTTTTTAAATGAGCGTCGTCAGCATGGAAGCATGTCCTCTGGAATGGTGGCCAAAGCATGAAGGGGCATACGACTGTTTAGCATATCTGGTATGTAAATATCTTGCAATGCCGGCTACAAAAGTGTCATGCGAATACCTGTTCTCACTTTCAGGTGACATTGTAAATAAGAAGATGGTAGCATTATGTCCCATAAATGTAAACAAACTTGTTTGTCTTAGCGATTGGCTGAACAAAAAGTAGGACTGAGTGGATTTGTAGGCTCTAAAGTTTTACATTGTTTTGTTTTTTGAGTGCAGTTATGTAACCAAAAAAAACCCAAAAACAACATTTGTAAGTTGCACTTTCACGATAAAGAGATTGCACTACAGTACTTGTATGAGGTGAATTGAAAAATACTATTTCTTTTGTTTATCATTTTTAAAGTGCAAATATTTGTAATAAAAAATAATAATATAAAGTGAGCACTGTACACTTTGTATTTTATTCTGTAACTGAAATATTTGAAAATGTAGAAAAACATCCAAAAATATTTAATACATTTCTATTGGTATTCTATTGTTTAACAGTGCAATTAAAAGTGCAATTATTCGCGATTAATTTTTTTAATCGTGATTACATTTTTTGAGTTAATCGCGAGAGTTTACTGCAATTGAGAGCCCTAATTTATATTAACAATAGAAAAAATAAGTAAGATTTTCTAATGCAATAATCCTCACTCTCTAGCCCTTCATGTCTAATAGTAGAATTTTAACTAATCTACTATGTTTTATATATTTATTAAAAAATACAAAACTTCTCTTCTCAATATCTTGTTTCAATACTCCCATACTCAAAAACTATGGGCCTGATCCCAAATACACTCACACACAAGTAACTTTATGCAAGTAGTCCCACTGAATGCAAAGCATGAGTGCAGGACCAATTCCTACATTGATAAATATGTGCATTGCTTTAATTCAATATAATGAGGCTGGTCAGTTTTATGAACCACATTTATAGCCATGCTTGCTAAAGCAGGGGGGGGAAATCAAGCCTCAGGCTTCAGGACATAAGTTCACCACCACTGAGGGGCAGGAAGGACTTTACCATCACCATGCAGAGCGCTGCTCTACGTGGACAGGTATAGTATGGAATTGTGTTAACATTACCTGGAAACATGAAGTGTCGAACACTGCAAGAGGCAGTGACTGGACTTTATTTATGGTTACTAGATTTTCTTATATTTCATTATTTTATTCCCTCATCACCATATATCAATCATTTTATTTTCATTTTTTCAGCACTCTTCCAAGTCTCAAGGTGCTTTACATGCACATAAAACTCTTAAGAAGAATTAAGCAGCTAGCATGCTGAGACCACAGCCTATCTTGCTGACCAATACTGTCTCATTGTTTCTTTGTATTCCCCGATCTGTCTCTATCTGTTGTCTCGACTTATACTTAGATTGTAAGCTCTGTGCGGTAGAGACCATCTTTTTGTTCTCTCTTTATACAGCACATATAAAATCTACCCATCACTATAATCCTCACATTAAACCTATCATATCCCTTCATTCCTCAGCCTACTGTCTTCACCAATGTCCAGGGAAGGAGGCCTGGTTTTTCCAGTATGTTCAAGAGGTTAACAAAATTCTAGAGGATCAAAGGGTATTAAAAACATCTTAAACTGCCCATGTTAGCCCAAAGAATCTCCTCATACACTCCCTGTAACACTCCAACCGACCAAGCCTCCCCAGAGATAATTCATAGTCCAAACAAATGCTTCACCAAAAATGTGCCCTAAAACTGCGGTTCTCAACCAGGGGTCCAGGGACATAAACCAGAGAGCAGAGTCAGCGTTAGACTCACTGGGTCCCAGGGCAGAAGGCCGAATTTCAAGCCCCGCTGCCTGGGGCTGAAGTCCATAGCAACTTAGCTTTGCGAGGGCCCCTGTGGCATGGAGTCCTGAGCAATTGCTCTGCTTGTTACCCCCTAACACCAGCCCTGGCTTATAATCTACTGAAAAACAATTGTTGTGGCACAGGTGGGCCACAGAATTTGTATAGCATGTTGGGGGAAGGGAGGGGGGTGTCTCAGAAAGAAAAAGGTTGATAACCCCTGCCCTAAAAATCAAGATTGGCAGTTCATCGGGATCTGATTGAGGGAGTGAATTCTATAGCTCAGGAGCTATTACCAAAAACATTTTGCCTGTGTGGCTGGAGCCGCTAAGGACTAAAGGGACTGAGGTGCTACAATGGTCAGCATTGTCATATTTAACTTTTAGGTATTATGCTGCCTAGTGGAATCCACAGCCCTGAGTTAGGTGCCAAGACTCCCTGTACAATGCATGGGGAGAGATAGGTGCCTAAGACTGGAATACACAGAAGCCAGCAAGCTAATCAGGGAGCTGCTGAAACTATAAGGTAGAAAATGCTGAGGAGGGAGACGGGGCTTAAGCCCTGCTCCACTCAGAATTAACAGCCACAAACCTTCTCCTGGTGTTAGGCACAGGGACTTGAATCTGGGTTCAAGTTCCAGTTCAACTCATCCAGAGCAGGGATTTGGGTCTGCAATATCCCTAACCACCAAGTTACCAGCTATTCTGGGGTGGAGTTCACTCGGTCTCTCCTGTTGCAGATGTTCCACTGTGCATAAATAATTACATATTCACTGGGCCAGAGCAAGACTGACTATAGCCTGAGGGTTAGGATACCCACCTAGGAATTGGGAGACCACATTCAAGTCCCATTCTCTGAATCAGAAAGAGCAGAAACTTGAACCTGGATATCCCAGAGGAGTACCCTAATCACCTTATTATTCTGAGGTAGGAGGCTATCTCCCTGGGTGTGACCAGGAATGCTATCGTGGACCTGACAATATTTCATTGAAACTGATACTGGAACTACTGGCAGGAATGTTTCAATAAACTGGAATATTTTGCTGAAAAATCTACAACAAACTATATTGTTTATGCACTTAGCTGGTATAAATGGGTCCTGAGAAACCCTCCAGGCCACATTTTCTTCTCACTTACTACGGTTTTACATGAGTATGAGTCAAATTACTTGAGTGGAGTTGCTCTTGATTTTACACCAGTATGAGTGGAGAAGAATCAGGCCCTTTGCTTTTATCCTGGGAAACACAATTTTGACCCTTTGTGCCCTCCCTTCTCATGACAGTGACGGTTGCTATAATCCAGTCAAAACCAGTGCTATCGCAGGATGCATGTGTGTAATAAGTGATCATACCCTTTCTTCCCACCAGATGTAATTGAAATAGACCTAAACTCTGCCCCATCACTACACTTTATGCTTGGTACTGCTAGTGAACAACATTAGGACAACAGAAAGTATAATTAAGCTCTTAATGGATGAGAAGTTTGTATTTAAAATAGGATTCTCAAACTGTTGCATCTTTACATAGGTCAAAGAGGTTTGCTGAAATATCCTTTTTTCCAGTCAAATTAAGACTCCCCCTTGAGCAGTTGGTGTCAAGATATGATTTCAATATGTGCCTATGAATAAGGGGGTTCCACCGCTCAAGACTGCTTTTAATCATAATATGTCCAATAAGAATGCCCAGAAATTGTTCAGATGCATTTCCAAAAATTTACTATCCTAGTCTCAGCCCTTTGAGCTTGACACACAAAATTCCTAATTTCCATTACTCTTGACAAAAAAAATGTAATAAAAATAAACCACTCTCCCCTATTTTTAGATCCTTCAGGTGAGACATTAACCAAGGTCCTTATTATTTTGTGGCCATTAGAGACCCCATGACGCTTTTTAATGCGGGAGAGATACAAGCCCAGAGATCCTGGACTGATTCTAAATTGCATTCTGCTGGCCTAAATTTGCCCTGCCGTTTCAATTGGATATAGCCTACTTCACCTTCATACTAAGATGCTGTCCACCATTTAAAAAACTGACAAATTCCACCTTAGAAGTGGTTGACTTTTCATGATGGTGTTTTAAATAATATTATTGTAAAGTGCTCCTGGAATCCTTCCACTCTCTAAATGAGTTATCAATTATTATTAGTTTGTCAATGTCCGTAGGATTCTGGTGGGCAACAGTAACTGTGCCCGATTACCAAGTCATTCCTTCGGGATGCAGATGTATTTCCATCCTACTCAAAGCCTGTTTGGCCTTGCTGGAAATTACAGACATCAGAAATACCAGATTGCGAAGCTAAATAGAAAACGTTTACACTTGGTAAAAAAAAATGTGATCTCCTATTGTGTCAGGCTTCCTCATCTGCTCCTTTGTTGCTTCCCTTATTTGAGTGTGGGAAGTGGGGAAAGAGACATAGTTCCTGCCCCGCTTTTAAAGACGAGGGCCACAAATTTGGGCCCAAATTTTCAAGTGGCCATGAATTTGGGGCATCCAGCCCCACACACTTTGGGCCTGAATTCCAGAGGTGCTGAGGATCTTCAGCTCCCTATTGACTTCAAGTGGAGATGACTTCTGAAATTCAGGCCCTAGGTGTCTCAGGTCTGGCACCTCTAAGGGGCACTTAAGAAAATGCAAAGCTTGGCCCTGATTAGCTGAGAGGTAGGGTGCCAAATGCTGGGTGTTGGAGACAGGCACTTGGGCTCACAGCCTTCCCCAGGGCAAGTCCCTGGACTGGTGGCACTCCCTACCTCCTCAGCATGGGGGCAGCAGCCAGTGCACAGTACACACCCCCGGGGCTGGCTCTCCCAGCTCAAACCCTGCCCGCCTCGCTCTGAAGCCAGCACCCACCTGGTTTGAGGTCGCAGGTGAGCTGCACGCCCAGCTCCGAGGCCGGGTAGGCGAAGTCTTCCGCGAGGAACTGGGCGGCTCGCTCTGCCTCTCGGAGCAGGGCGGGCTCCGGGCAGGGCTCTCCCTGCTGGGCGCACTGAGCCCTGCTGCCCGGCCGGGACCTGTGGCGGAGCCGCAGGGGCAATTTGCATTCAACGCCTTTGCAGTCCCGGCTGGTGCCGTTGGGGGCCCGGGCGGCGCAGTCCCCTCCCAGGCAGGTCTCCCCGGCGCCCCTAGCGGCCGGGGCAGGGAGCTCCGGGCTGAGCTCGGCCGTGCTCCTGGAGGGGAAGGCGGGGAGAGGGGCAGCGTGCGGGGCGCTCGGCGCCTGCTTGCCGCGGGCGGGCGTGACGGTGTGAGGGAAGGAGCGGGACGGGCGGCTGGCTCTGCCCGAGCAGCGGGGCCCCAGGCACTGCTGTCTGGGCGGATCTCGATCACCGCCGCCGTCGCCACACAGGGTGCCCCGGCAGCCGGCAGCGCCGCTGCCTCCTCCCCCTTCCCCCAGCAGCGAGAGGCAAACACCCAGCCAGCAGCAGCAGCGAGCCCACCGCAGCATCTCCAGCCGCATCTGCAAGAGAAAGCGTGAGACAGCGAGGGGTCAGGGAGAGCAGCCCCGCGCACCGCACAGGGGCTCCCTAGCTCCCGGTGCCTGTACCCCACTCTCCTCTCCGCGCCCGGGCGCCATGCCCAGCAGTGTTTTGCCTTGCAGCAGGCGCACCCTACTGGCAGAGTGCACGTTCCCCCCGTACTCCCTCGCTACTAGATAGGTCGGGTCACGTTTGCACCCTGAAGGGCTCTTCCAGAGCCCGGTTCTCTGCACTCTCCACCCCTGGCTGCAGAGAGCTGCAGCTTCCCTCCCCACTCATTCCGATTTTCTGTACGTCCACCCGCCTGTCTCAAACCCCGGGCAAACTCTTTCCAAAGTGGGGCTTGGCTGGTTAGATGGGCCCGTGAGTAGTCAGCTGCTTTACCTAAGAGACGGCGCGGAGCTGCACTTGAGAAGGCCACGCTCTCTGGAGCTGGGCGGCTTGCAAGGGCCAGGTAGGGAGCAGAGGAGTTTCCTTCCCCAGTAGTGGGGACTGACCTCTGCAAGCCTGGAAGAATGTTAATGTAGAGTGAAGTCATTCCTTAGACTTCATTAGCATCCAATTTCCCAAGCACCTCCCTTTAACTCTTGCGACTCCAGCGCCCTGGTCTCGGGGGGGAAGATTCCTCATAAAAAAAGATTACACCGAGTAAAGTTTTTATTCCGTGAGGACTTGCATACGCCGATATCATGAAGACAACAGGAATAAACATCCGCACTTCACCTAAAACAAAGCAAAAGGCAGGGCTCGCAGAGCGGATAAATGCTGGAAGACTGCGATTGTGACCTCAGGGGCTAGCCAACGAGGGACGTTTATTCAAGATTAAAGGCGACCTTTAGCTAACCTAGAAGCTGGGGGGCGGGAGGAGAGGGGGAAAAGAATGGGTTTCACTTTAAACCAGTGGTAGTGCGAGAGTTGAAGCCTGGCGCTCTCTAGTTGAAACTCTACGCCCCTGATACTTCTGATCATAGCAAGACACCTAAGGAGGTGTGAGGAGCAGTGGTACGTTTCAAGTGCTCCATGAATAACTCACTACGTTAGGCTCCAAACTCACAAATCTCATCTCTTCCAGATGTTTATAGGAGGAAAAACAGCACATTTTCTTTCAAAGGGTGGGTCCACTTTGTCCATTTTGTTATTGGATTTGGCCATCATAAAGGTACACTGAGCTATAGTGAGTAAAATCATACCTGTAAGCAAAAAAATACAACCCAAATATATATATTAACTCATTGTCTCCAATCTTCTCCCCCACAACGCAATACTTTTATATTAACAGAGGTATAGTCTCTTCAAAATTAAATAGAAGAGAAGAAAGGGCTGGCTAGAGTCATGCATTTTTCTCCATTTTTTGTGACGTTTGAAAGTTTATGTTCCAAATTTCAGTTCTGTGCAGTCACTCTGGCTGATCTGGTGTTGCGCCTTCTGAAGGAAAACCATAGAACAATGCCCTACACACAATGGGCCTAATTCAACTCCAGTGACTTCACTGGGAATAGAGTCAAGCTTAACATTAACACAGGGAAGGCTAGCAGCCTGTTAAAAGGGCTGTTCTAGAACAAAAGGCTGTAATCATAACAAGCAATGTTATTCTAGAAAACCAAATATTGCACACAATTGATCATGGTCTGTAAGTACCTACAGTAGAGGACTCCTAACCATGGGCTCTTGTTATGCCTTTGTCTGCTAAAAGCTGAAGCTAGAAAAATTCAAACTAGGTGCAAATTTTTAAATGAGGGTAATTAGCCATTGAAACAATTTGACAATGCAGTGGATTCTCCCCTCACTTAAAGTCTTCAAATCAAAATTGGATGGCTTTCTGGAAGATATGCTCAAGTTTAAGCAGGCATTAGAAGTTTGATGCAAGAGGTCAGATTAGATTATTATCCGAAGAAGTGGGCTGTAGTCCACGAAAGCTTATGCTCTAATAAATTTGTTAGTCTCTAAGGTGCCACAAGTCCTCCTGTTCTTCTTTTTGCGGATACAGACTAACACGGCTGCTACTCTGAAACTATTATTATAATGGTCCCTTCTATCCTTAAAAGATGTATAAAACGTTGGCACATTGAAATCAACAGCAAAACTCCCACTCGTTTCATTTGGGCCAGGATTTCCCTCTATGAATATTTGCAACATATGTTTTATATGTTCATTTTGTCCTGCAACATACACGTTGTTTCTGATATGCTCTTTCCTTTGTTAATGCTCTTTTCCAGTCTGCTTTTTTTTAAAAACCTTGGACACTAGTATTCCATGTAACTCAATATACATTTCCATCAACAGCTTTTTCTAGGTCTTATTTACTCTGGATTTTAAAAAATCCAACACAATAAGGTATGATCCAATTGCTATGTATCTGGTAGCATAGGGATTGTGGTCCTCCAAAGTATAGGGCTGATCTTGCAGCCTTTAATGATCCCATCTCCCATAGGCAGTTTGCATAGGAAAACTGCAAGACAGAATTCAAAGTGCTCAAAGTCACCAGTGTACATCTCCAGTGACCTCTGATGATGGCTTGCAGGGAATTTGCAAGTTCTCAAAATAATTCCACCTGCATGCAATAGTGCACACACATGACCAGGGCAAATTCTGCTCTTGGGTCACACCAATGTAAATCTAGAGCAGCTCCACTGAAGTTAATGGAGTTACTCAAGATTTATGCTGAAATAAATGAGTGTAAAATTTGGCCCCAAATTTTTATCTGTGCAATGTAGTTTTATAGGTTGTACTGTGATCTTTGGAAGGATAAGTATCATGTTCCTAGGAGATACTGTGCAAATGAGATTGTGTGATATTAATTCAAGGAGTATTAGGGCTTGCGTTAAGCCTCTGCGAATGGCAGATGAGACATGGCTGTTATTTTCAGGAGTCGGAGCAGGCTCAGAGTGAGCTGACTGGTCTAATCAACATGCCGTGTGTTCACATCTGACAAAAAGGATTCCTGATGCACCTACTTAGCAGTATCGTGTGCCCAAAGCTGTATCACTTCTTCCAAGTCCAGTGAAATTCAATGCAATATTTTCAGAAAAAATGGGGTTAATAAACAGGCCAGAACAGATGCTCTGCAGTTAAGAAATGCTTGCTTCATTTAAAACAGTAGTAAAAGCTTTCATTGCATTGCTATGCATCCTGTATATGCAGTGTCATTGTAGCCATGTCTACCATATTACCACCTCACCTACTTTGTCTCTCTAATATCCTGTTGACCCTGATACATAAGATACTGTGTATATCCAGGTTTCAGAGTAGCAGCCGTGTTAGTTTGTATCCGCACAAGGAAGAACAGGAGTACTTGTGGCACCTTAGAGACTAACAAATTTATTAGAGCATAAGCTTTCGTGGACTACAGCCCACTTCTTCGGATGCATATAGAATGGAACATATATTGAGGAGATATATATACACACATACAGAGAGCATAAACAGGTGGGAGTTGTCTTACCAACTCTGAGAGGCCAATTAATTAAGAGAAAAAAAAACTTTTAGAAGTGATAATCAAGACTAGCCCAGCACAGACAGTTTGTATAAGAAGTGTGAGAATACTTACAAGGGGAGAGTCAAACATTGAATCAAACTGTCTGTACTGAGCTAGCTTGATTATCACTTCAAAAGTTTTTTTTTTTTTTTTTAATTGGCCTCTCAGAGGTGGTAAGACAACTCCCACCTGTTTATGCTCTCTGTATGTGTGTATATATATCTCCTCAATATATGTTCCATTCTATATGCATCCGAAGAAGTGGGCTGTAGTCCACGAAAGCTTATGCTCTAATAAATTTGTTAGTCTCTAAGGTGCCACAAGGACGCCTGTTCTTTGTACCAAGTGTGAGGTCAGTCTAACCAGATAACTTAACACTTGGGAAAGCAAACCCCCATCCGTTATACCTGCTGGGGTATTTTCCCTT